AAGTATTTTACCAATAAAAATGTAGCCTTGTGATAAGTGAGTTGAAACAAAAACCTTGAAATCAAAATTTAAACAATGAGTGAACAAAAGAACGAGAATTCAAAAGCTTTGATCTGTTGCCTGAATCCCCTCTTTGCGAGGTGTATGGACGATTTATAGTAAATATTTATGGACTAAAGGAACATTTGTTCCATAGACAATATTGGTGGACTCATGTGATTCGGGGTAAAAATAACGGTATAATATCTACCGAAGTATTTGCGACCTACCGAAAATGACGATGCACTCATCATTGCTGGAAAATACTCAGGAAAAACGATGAACTGTTTACTGATTTTTAATGACATCAAATCAGTTTACAAACATTAAAATCACTATTTGATGATTTTTTGAAAGTTTTTGTTAAAAAATTGTTTAATGATTTTTTAATACATGACCAGTCCTTTGATTTTTACCTTATCTCCTAGCTTCAACATATTTCATGCTTCGAACAATTGGTAAATATACCATAGTAGAAAATGAACGGTAGATATCATACCAAAGTAGAAAATGGACCGTAGATATACCATGGTAGAAAATGAACGGTAGATATCATACGATGGTAGAAAATGAACGGTAGATATCATATTATAGTAACACCAAAATAACTAACACAAAACATGGAATTTAAAACAAACGACAATTAATGCATGTTATTAAAAAAGGACACAATTGAAAGGAAAGGAAAAAATATTGAAATTAGCTGTAAGAATGTGCTGTGAGTGAGTGAGTGAGTGTTCAGTTAACAGGAGACCACGAAAATGATCGTGCCCCAGAGTGGTACACCTAACCTACGTGCTACTATACTCGAAAGCAAGAGAAAAAAAAGAGAAAGATGAATGAAATGTTTGATTTTTTTTAAAGAGCGCCGCTGCAATGGGCGTTTTTTGGCAAAGCCAAGTGGAGTAACGCAAGATTTCAATAACAGTTGACAAACGAGACAAAATCTTCGTTTTCGAAGACGGAGCAAAGTCAAATGGCTATTTCATATTGAACAAGAAATTATAGTCAGTCGCTGAAGAAAGTAAATTTTATGAACGCTGTGAGTGTAATGTATACGAGTGTGTGTAGTTTACAAAGTGGATACCTAACTAGACGGTGTGTGTATATGTATATATATGTGTGTGTGTGTGTGTGTGTGTCTACGGTATGGAAAGACGAACGAACAGACGCGACTCTGATTCTAGTGAAGGAAAACGTTCCTTTTATAAAGCTTAGACGGAGAAGATCAGCTGCTTTTTGAAAGTCTTTCTGATTGGTCCATAAATCTAAGAAAGGCGTTTCTTTTTAAACTATAGCAACTTATCCGGATGATGTCGGCTGGAGCCTTTGAAGACCGAATTAGAAGCTTTTAGAAGAAGCTTTCCTTATTGGCTCTAAAATAATTATTAATTAGATTTGAATTTTCTACTATTTACAATACACTCAGCAATCTGACACACTCAGTGGTAACTATCTTCTGCAAATGGTCTTTCATACTACTGCAACATGTAGCAACCTTCTAATTATATAAACAATGAATGGATTTTCTTTTTTAATCTGACAGTGTTTCTTATTTACGAAAACGTTATTCGTGTGGTTACATGTGTTTTTTGAGACGATAACTCTTTTTATTTAAATATTAATTTGTAAATAAACAAGGTTGCTTGCTCAAGCATGGGTAATTCTTTAAATAACATTTAAGGTAATAAGATACACAGACAAACATTCACAAGGAGGGACTGAAACGTTTTCAGCCCAACCAAGAATCAAGTAAAAATGAGCATTTTTTGATCACATGATAAAATATGACCAAAATAATGTTTATTAGGTTTGATAACTTTTAGCACCCCCCCCCATCTCTGTGTGTGAATTTTTGTAATGAAGTAATTCCTCTCATCTGGCATTCAGTCATTAGGGCTTCCAATTCTTGACAATGAAAACATTAACATTTTATTACTATAAAGAGGTGCTAAAAATGTCTCTCTTTGATTAAAAGCGCTTCCAAAATAAACTCTGGTGTTTGGTCAGATTTGAGAAAGTCTTTCAATCTGATAAACTTCCAGCAATCCTTGTTCTTAGCATAAAATAAATGCCATTCCCTCTGTATAAAACTATTTTTTTTGTTAAGCAAAAGCTGTCTAACAGGTCATGCCATAAGTAACGTCTGATAGACTGAATATTCTTGTAATTAAAAAGACCAAATATTCAGAATCCAGTCCTAATTCTGGTTGATGTAATGACATTCACTTACGTACTAATACCCTTGGGAAAACTATGAACCCAACTGTTATCTCCCCTGCTATGAGTAAATAGGAGGACACATTCAGTTGTATAGCCTTGGGTGGCAGAATGGAAAACTCTGAATTCAAAACTGTTTGTAACCCTGGTGAAGCATATACAACTACAGAAAGGATCCTTTACATTGACTCAGTGATCCTGACTATGATTCATCACTTATATGCATACCTTTCCATGCAGTTTTACATGAGTAAGTTTCCAAAGTCAAAAAAAAAAAAAAAAAAAAAAAAAAATTGATTGATAGTTTTTTTTTTTTTTAATGGCTTTTCAACCTTTTGCAGGTTATTTAAAGCTAGAAAATATTTTTGGATTGTCTGGATTTTATTGGAGATAATTATTTACTGATACAGATTCTATTATTTAACCCATATCTGGGGGGAGAGAAGAGGTGGATTCATACCTTTCCCAAGGTTATTTGGGTGTAAGTGTATATAGGGAACCTGACTGGAATTGGAACTCCTAATTTTCAAGTTCGAGCCATTATCATTTCATATGCATGTTCTGTTTATTTGTTGATGGTTGTACAATTCTGTAATGCAATTGAGAAAATCATTTCTGTAATGTAATTACAGAATTGAGTTCCCTTGTCTGATGAGTGTGTGACTACAAACAAATAAACAGTGTGTGCACATCAAATTAAATTGGAGAAAAAACAGTGAATTTTAAGTATCACTTTTTTTATGTATTGTATTTTGTATCTTGCCTTGTATATATATTTTATATTGAAAACTGTATTCTTATAGTGTCATTATTATCTGTTTTATATATATATATATATGTAAGGGTTATGACATTTTTAACCTTATGTTCCTGTGTCAAATCAATTAACGTTTGTTCAAAAGTAATAAAAAAAAAAATACTAATTTGGTTTAGTTTTTGTAAAAGGTTACCCGCAAATTGAAAAGTCCAATTTATCATATATGCAATTAGGGTTAAAAAAATATTCTACAATCTTTATTTTTTTAATTTTCTAAAGATGTAGTTGGATAATACTTATGTATTTTTAACACATTTAACAGTTTATAGCTATAGCATAACATCCAACCTTACAAATAAACAAATATTGCAAACTTGTAGAAGCTTTATTTTTCAACTTGCTAATGATGTAATTGGATAGCAATAACTAAACAGTACCAAAAAAATAGACATGATATCCCTAGACATAGGCAGTGGAACAAGAACAGTCTACCCCTGTAGATTAAATAAAGGGTTCAGTTTGGAATTCCCTGTGAGTTACTTGGTTTGACATACTGTCATAAGCAATAACTGTCCTCCATTTTAGACTCTTCTGGAATTATCCACTTTTTATTGTAATTTTATTTATATATATATATATATATTCTATTATTTGTATTCTTATTTGCTCTTAGATCCATTGTGGGTTACTCTGTTTATTAAAACCTTCACCAAGGTACTTTAGTTTTGTTCCTTATTACACACATATACCTAATGAAAGCCAGAAGACACAATGGTTGAAATGTTGCGATGACAACAACAAAGATGAGGACAATAGTCTGAAAGTTAATAGCGTAAATAATGTTAACTCTTCATCCCAGAAATCCATATAGAAATGTATATTTTTGCATGGTATAATAACGTTAATAAAATCATTTAGCATGAAATTATGAATATGAAACTCATTAAAGTCTTTGTTTTCCCATGAGTTAAACTTCATCTTAAATCATAAATGCTACAAAGCCTCATGGAACAAAGGTTAGAATTTATTGATCTCCTAATAGGGACCAATTTGACACATCTGGTTTGCTAAGTGAACCTACATATGTAGGTAAAGGGGAAAAAGAAGTGCACAGTAACTTGTAGCTGGTGATGCAAAGACATCAGAGAAACTCATGACTATCAACTTTAGAGTATAATTGCAATGTGCTGCACAGAGTTAGAATCTCCAGGGGCTAGCACTTTTTTTTTTAATCAATTCACTCCAAGCAAGGTGATAATGCCACTAAGATACAAGGGGCTACTGGGAGTGAAAGAGAATGGAAAAGACTTCAGAAAGGAACTGTAAAAACTCAATCCTAAACAGGAAACAAGGAATAAACTGCTACAACTGTTCAAAAGACTGGTAAGCAGGCTGAACTGAGTGATAGGTGAACCAATCTACTCCTATTGAAGAGGAAAAAATAAAAGAAATAAAATTTCAGAGTAGAAACATTGAAAGTATAGAGTATGGTTTTGTTTTCTTTTGGAGATAGACAAAAAAAAAAAAAAAAAAAAAAAAAAAGAATCATGGAAGAAATGTTAAATTATAAACCAGGCAGGTTTGATTTTCTATTTAAATCTCAATTTTACAGTAATTTTGTTTCGTTACAGATTTCCATATTTTAAATGCAATACTACTTTCTGTAGAAGTTAATATACAGGATCTTTGTGGAAAGAGGGTTTCAAATGAAGAAAAAAGTGATTTCTTTTTTTTCTTGTTTATGAGAGAAAATGGCAGTAAGAAGCCTCTAAACTCACTACCATAAAGTTTAAACAAAACTTAATATGAACTTTTATGGCAGTGGATGAACACAAAGAAAAAAATGTAAAAACATTAAATGACAAATGTGGTTCTACTGACAAATTTTGAGAATACTATGGAGAGATTATGCTAAAAATGTGAAAGTTTTAAGAAGAAACCAAGACATAACTTTAATTAAAATGTAAAAACACATTTTTTTTTTTTAAAAAAAAAAAAAGAGAGAAAGAGAAAAAAAGAGAGAGAAAAAAGAGAAAAGTGGAAAAAAAGGAAAGAGGAAAAAGAGAAAAAAAGAAAAAGGAAAAAGAAAAAAAGGAAAAAGAGAAAAAAAGAAGAAAAAGAAGGAAAAAGAGAAAAAAAGAAGAAAAAGAAGGAAAAAGAGAAAAAAAGAAGAAAAAGAAGGAAAAAGAGAAAAAAAGAAGAAAAAGAAGGAAAAAGAGAAAAAAAGAAGAAAAAGAAGGAAAAAGAGAAGAAAAAGGAGGAAAAAGAGAAGAAAAAGGAGGAAAAAGAGAAGAAAAAGGAGGAAAAGAGAAGAAAAAGGAGGAAAAGAGAAGAAAAAGGAGGAAAAAGAGAAGAAAAAGGAGGAAAAAGAGAAAAAGAGAAGAAGAGGAAAAGAGAAAAAGAGGAAAAAGGGAAAAAGAAAAAAGAGGAAAAAGGAAAAAAGAAAAAGATGAAAAAAGGGAAAAAGAAAAAGAAGAAAAAGAGAAAAAGAAGAAAAAGAGAAAAAGAAGAAAAAAAAGAGGTAAAGGGGAAAGAGAAGAGGAAAAAGAGAAAAAGAGGAAAAAGAGAAAAAGAGGAAAAAGAGAAAAAGAGGAAAAAGAGAAAAAGAGGAAAAAGAGAAAAAGAGGAAAGAGAAAAAGAGGAAAAAAGAAAAAGAGGAAAAAAGAAAAAGAGGAAAAAGAGAAAAAGAGGAAAAAAGAAAAAGAGGAAAAAAGAAAAAGAGAAGAGAAAAAGAGAAAAGTGGAAAAAAAGAAAGAAAAAAGGAAAAAGAGAAAAAGAAAAAAGGAAAAAGAGAAATAGAAAGAAGATAAAAACAAACAAAAAAGCAATAAAAAAAAGGAAAAACAAGCAAAAAAAGAAAAACTGACACTAACAATGATTGATTGAATGATTTGTTTTTTTAATGTCTTTTCAACCTTTTGCATTTCATTCAAAGCCGGAAAACATTTTGAGAATGTAAGAATTTTTTTGAAGATAATAATTATTTACTGATAAAAGTTCTTCTAATTAACCCATAGCTGAGAGGGGGAAGAGGAGGATTCATGCTTTTCTCCAGGTATATCTGTGTCTAAGGGAATATAATGAATGCCTGAAACTGGAACTTAACTTCTCATAAAAACAAACCCTGGATAAAATAAAATGCCACTAACAATCAGAAAGAGGCAACTGAAATTTTGAAGACATATGATGAGGAAATTAGAATTGAAAGAATTTATATGCTGCAGGGCATATTCAAAGGAAATTCACCTAAGACCTCAAGTGGAACTTATAGATACAATCTCTTGCAAGAAAAAAATGGTCAGCACTTTGAACCATTCCAGAAAGTATCTGGCTCCTCCTATCATGCTTTATCTTAGAGTCAGATTAGAGAAAAAAATGCAATATTGCTGATATGTCTGTGCTGGAGTTATATAATCCTCACTTTCCAGATTTGAGCGAGTTCAAAATCATTTATGTGATCTTGTAGGGGATGACTTATTTTCCGCCCTACAGCCTCTTTCCCCACAGACATAATGTTGCAAAGCTACTGATACTCTATTGCTGTTTCCATGTCAAATGTTCAGATGAACTACATTCCTTTCATCCCACGAGTTCAGACTTTTATAGTTCAGACACACCATATTAGATTCACAGAATCAAATCAACCACATTTCCTTTATATGCCATTTGTAAAGAGGAAGTTCTGTTCAGACAGCTTCACCCACACCGAGAACTGCTACTTTATAGAAGAAAGTCTTGCATGGATGCTTCCTTGGCCATGACAATTTTAATCTCTTTAATTCAAAGGACAATTGTCAGCTATCCTCCTCATTTGTCGCTTCCTTCTATCTCCTTTTACATTTGTATCACAGCCCTTGTTCAATAACTCTCTACAATGAGTTGCTCTCGAGCCTTGTATTGGGTGGACTTTATTATAAAAGAAGCAGATGCAGAGAAAAACTGGGAGTAATGTATTTGACAAATTTAAGTGGATGAGAGAAAAAGAATCAGAAAGACAAGGATGGAGTTGTAAAAAAGAACAAATATTACTTAGAGAAGCAAAAGTCAGGAGCCTCCAGGTCTTAAAAGAATGCAGACTGGGGAGAGAGTAAATTCGTGATTGTAAAGATTATAAAATTAAGTTTAAAAAAAAAAAAGAAAAAAGAAGATTTTTCAACTAATTAGAAAAACAAATGAAAAACTGTTTATCTTGGGGCTAAACCTATGTGAAAGCTAGCAAAGAGCAAGTACTTTAATGATTGGAAAGGCTCAGTGTTATAATACACACACACATTATATATATTGTTAAATATAAAAGACAATAAATGTCTACTATATCTGATCATGAGCCATTCTAATATTCCTATGTTTACTTTAATTTCGGGTGAAAATATAGACAAAAATTGTTCAACATTTGGATACTTTTTATTAAAGCTTGATCTAAGCTTTCGACTCACATGACCCATCTTCAGAGTGGTTGTATGGACATTTTAAAAAAGATTCACCATTGAAAATAATATTTTGTTGTGTTGACATAGAAGACTGCTATATGATGATAACAGTCAAAGAATAGCAGATGCAGTTTGTAAGTTCATGATTATGATATCATACAACGCGAGAGGACTAAATATTAACAACAGAACCATATGTCTAGATGCAATGTAATATGTTGTGAGTAGTTTCAACAAAATTATATTTCAAACATATAATAATCAAGGGGGTTGCAGTTTGTGGGGTTAGGTGGCAAGATGTAAGGGGTGATGTGGTTGCAGAAATTGTCTGACAGCTATGACGGTTCTCCTACTTGTGTGGCATGGTGCAGAGTTCTGTTGTCAAATGTAGGGTCTTCCAGCAGCCACCCTCTTGACCCAGGGCAGCACTACCTCCACAAGGCACTTGATGTAGGGTCTCCATGTTGAATCACCAACAAATTTAGGAGTACTTTTCTTATCAGAATGATCAGAGTGAGTTTTCCTAGCTGCTGTACTATTGTAATCCACATTAGACTGATCCAACTCTTTCCAAATCCTCCGCACTGTCCTCAGATTGACACCCAAGCACTATGAGATGTTTGTATTGGAGTTACCGGTGCAAAGGCCAAGCAGTAAAGCATGTAGTTTTCAAATTTTTGGCAGAGTGAATTACATCATGATGCTCTTTCTCTCCCAGACAGTGCCCAACTGACCCTACTATACTGTGCAGTCAACAATAACAAAAATAAAAAAAAAACAAAACAATGCACATTAAAAATATAAAATATGAACATTTACCATCACACCTGTGTGTGTGTGTGTGTGTGTGTGTGTGTAAATAAATTAAAATGTGTATATATTTATCTATATAAATTAAATTGTGTGTGTGTGTGTATATATATATATATATATATATATTAGTGTGTGTGTGTGTAGTGAGATATTTGGGACTTTGTTATATTTGCATTTGATCTGTTACTACTTTGTTTGTCTTTAATACAAGATGCTTTCAGACCTTAATGAATTCTAAGCCATAAGTATTTGCTGTGCAAAAGGATTAAACTTGAGAATATTTACTGCAAGGATTTTAACCAAAAACATAATTCAGGAACAAATGATCAAGGATTTATAAAAAAAGAAAAATCTTAAAAAGAAATCTTTCAATTTGGAAAGGTTAGTACTTCATGACTGCACATTTTGCTGTCTAAACAAACCTGATTAATTTTTTAAAATTTCAATCAAGAAAGACCAGCATCTCAACAACAATGAAGATCATAGTTGGAACAGATGTATAGTTATTTACTCAGCATAGTTTAGTCTGGTACAAGGCCACGAGTGTGAGGTGTGCTCAATAAAGATCACACTTACTGCACAACTAGCTTGCTAACCATCACTTCAAGACAAGGAATTCATTTTGATATTGACTAAATATGACAGGGCTGTCGAGAGGTGCACATGCCCACTGACATATCCTTAGGTAATACTGCTTGTGTCCATTATTAGACAAGCAGTTAAATGTTCCATGGCCCTGCCATAGGATGCATATCCTCTCTCAGTTGTGTGTGTGTCTTCAGGCAGAATGTGGCTCGGTTGTGGCCTCAGGCTGCGGACAGAAACGCAGCGGAGGAAAATAATATTTTGAGGTTGTTGGTCCTGGAGAATAGCTACCTGAAGCTGCACCCTCTCATTGCACTACAGAGGGGGGGGGGCAGTGGTCACCACCGAGGCCAGCAAAACTGATGGTTGTAGGAGCTTGGGCAATTTTTGTACTTGGTCTAACTGTACACACTCAGGTTCCCCATGTTAAGCCTGACCCTGTGTCGCATCCCGTCACAATGGGGAAGCATTGGTAAATACCTAAGTTGTTAGTTTGGGTTTGGATACCAAGAACCTAATTAGCTTTCTTTGATCTCTTGTCTAATTTTGAAGATCTTCTAGTTTTTTACCTGTTTAAAACATTTCAAGACATCAGTAGGCTTTTCCTCACACAATATTCCAAGTTCATTAGTGATTTCATGTTGGCTCATTCTTTGTATGCTATCATGATCTTTATCGTCTTCTCTAAATTTAGTCTCCCAATTAAAAACTTCAAATTGAAATCTCCAAAGTGGATGTAATCTGTGTTTAGTGCATTTAATGCAAGAAATTTACATTCATATTTTGATCTGGGACAACTGACAATGGAATGGAGGTCTAGTTGCTTATAACTTTTGCATGCTCTATTTTCAGCATGACCATGAAGTTGCCATCCAAAAGTTAGGCAAAATAACAGGAAAATTTCATAAGAAACAAAGAAAAGAGTACTAAATTGTTATGCTGTATGAGTGCTCCTATATGGCAGTGAATACTGGACAATCTCATCACTGATATAGAAAAAACTGAAGCAATAAAAATGTGATTCTACAGAAAGATACTGAGAACATTGACTGAACATGTGAGTAACAAGGTAGATTTGAGGAAAATGCAAACAAAAAGGATATTTATACTTAGAATCAGAAAGGGTTGACATTTCTTGGGCACATAAGGAATGAGGTAAATCTGACATATAAGACAATACTGAAAGCAAGAGGAGTTTTTTGATTTGATTTTTATGGTTTATCAACCTTTTTGAAGTTATTTAAAGCTGAAACATTTTGGGAATGTAAAATGATTTTGGAGATAATGATTTCCTGACAAGTCTTACTATTTAACCCATATCTGTGAGGGGAAGAGCTGGAATCATTACCCACACATTCAAGCTTACAGCACCTGATATTCCCAAGTGGCCACCCATCTAGGTACTGACCAGGTTCAATGTTACTTAATTCCAGTGATTGGTCAAGAATCAATGTTTCAACCTGATACAAGTTTTACTATTTAACCCATATCTGGGAGGAGAAGAGCTGGATTCATACCAGCATATCTAAGCTTACAGCACCTGATATTCTCAAGTGGTCACCCATTATGTTGCTTAACTTCAGTGATCAGAGAACTGACATGTCAACATGGCCATAAGCAAGGGCAGAGGAAAGCAATGCATAATCTAACTAACAAGTTTATGTAAATGGATAGGAGGAGAGGGAAAGATAATGAAAAGAGAAACATTAGAGGTACAAAGATCAGAAAGTTGTGGAGAGCCATGATCACCAACGTCCTGAAAGGAACACAGCACATGGTTTAATACTTTTTTTTCAGGAATGAACATAACTTTTTTTGTATATTAAATTAATTTATTTATATTCATATATTTTTTTATATATTATTGTTAATTCTCAGTTAATACAACAATACCCCCACTGTATGGCATTGTCAAATCACTAGTACTGTAGGGATTTTAAACACTGCATTTAAGGTACAGATATATCATATTCATTTAGTTCTTAATTTTCTTAATTTCTTTTTTATAATCATTTTCATTTCACCCCCAAGCAAGGCAAC